GGCGCCGGGCCGGGGGCTCGGGGGGGTCGCGCCTGCCTCGCCGCAGCCCCCCCGGGGCCGAGCTGCCTCCGGCGCCGCGCCCGCACACGGCGGCTCTGCCGGCAGCGCCGGGCGCGCCGCTGCCCAAATCGGGCCGGGGGGGTGGAAGGGGTGGAGAGCGAGGAGGAGGAGAAGGAGGAGGAGGAAGAAGAGAAGGGGACAGGTTGGGGCTGCCCGGCGCTGCGCGATGGGCTGGGGAGCGCCGCGGGCGGCGGCCGTCGGGGGGAGCTGAGCCGGGCTGGGCTGAGCCGGGCTCGGCACCGAACCCACCGAGCCCCCGCCGCTGCCGGCTCCTGCGGGCTGGACGGGGCTGCCGCGGCCCCCGTGCTACCCGAGGAGCGATTAGGAGATGCCGCGGTCCCCGCCAAGCCCGGGGAGGATTTGGAGGCTGTCCCGGTCCCTTCCCAGCAAGGTGCGCGTTGGGGGCTGCTGCGGGGTGCCCCCCAGCCCTGGGGAGGGAATGGGGGCTGTCACGGGGGCTTTCCACCCCAGGGCGGATTCGGGGAATTACCTCCCATCCCTTCCATTCCAGGGAGGAGCTGGGGGGTTGTCTCAGCTCGCCTCCAGCCGGGGAGGATCTAGGGGCTGTCCCACTCCCCTTCCAGCCGCCGTCCCCATTCCCCGACCTTCCCCACAAGCCGGACACCCCGCAGCATCCCTGGGCATTGCCCGCTTATCTCCCCCTGCTTCCAAGCCTGCTTGGTCCCCACCGGCATCCCGGGGCTGCCCAGGGCTGGGGGGCACTGCGGGGACCACAAGCCCCAGGGCACGGAGCGTGGTGTTGGGGCGGGCACGGGGTTTTTGGATGCTGGAGCGATGCACAGCCAGGGACTGGGAGCGCTGTGTTCAGAGCCAGATGCAGCAGCAGTTGGATCCCCTTCGGTGCCTAAATACCTCCATGGACCTGAGCTGGGGTCACATCAAATAAACCTCATCCTGGGCACACAGAGTCCCAGAATGGTTAGTGTTGGAAGGGACCTTGAAGTGCATCCAGTGCCACCCCCTGCCGTGGCAGGGACACCTCCCACTATGCCAGGTTGCTCCAAGCCCCATCCAGCCTGGCCTTGGGCACTTCCAGGGTTGGGGGTTGCGTGGATCTCGATTTTTCTCCTCCTCCCTGTCCTTATCTCTCATCCTGACCTTTCCCCCTCTTATTTGGGTTCCTTTCCTCAGAAGCTCTCCTGAATTTTATAGGGACCAGGTGAATTGTGGATGCTGCTATGACTGGGTGGCTTGGGGTGCTGCTGACCACCCTGTGCTGCACCCCCAGAAATTGGGCAAACTGTATTTAAAGTGGCAGAGCCTAACAGCGGCCAGAGAAATCAGGGAAGCTCGTGGAAAGGTCGGGGAGAGAAATAGAGCTGGGAACATGCCAGATAACTGTGTGCCATCACGTACTGAGGTGTGGGGCAGCATCCACGGCGGATGAGTGGGGAGAGCCAGGTGTGCAGTGGGTCGTGCTGAGCCAGCACTGCAGCACTCCCAGATGGAGCCTCCTCTCTCCCAAAATAGCACTTTGCAGCCCATTTATCACATTTAATTGCTATATATAAAGAATTGATAGCAGGAGGCAGCGGGTGGGTGAGGTCAGGCCAGGTGAAGCAGGTCCTGGCAAGTCTCACCAGCCGGGCTGCGAAGATCCCGGCACCTCTCAGTCCTTCTCCAGGCTCCTTGGACAAGGAGCTGCCACGGGAAAAGGCAGGCACCTTCCCTCCCGGTCCAAAAGCCATAAAACACGGCGGCTGAGTGACGCTAGAGGTTGTGGGAGAGCATGAGGCTCTCTGCAGCTGACCCCTTTGACTTTGAAAGGCAGAGATGCTCCAAGGTTTGGAGGGGAAGGGTGTTCCAGGAACCGTTCTGCGGCAGGATGACTTTGGGACGTGGGGGCTCCTGCCTGGTGGCACCACGGTGGCTTCCTTGCTTGCAGACACCCTGGGCTTGCCCAGGGCTGGCTGGGGGTGGTGCAGCTGCAGCTGCAGCATGCAGCTCAGCAGAGCTGTGAGCTTTGGGGGCTCACTGGCAGTGCCCCGTGTGCGCAGCAGTTCCCGAGGCCCCGGCACCCACCACCAGCTTGGTGTTACTCCTTCCTGGCTGTCCTGCTGGAACCTGGAGCCCCTCAAACACGCTGTGTACAGACCTTCAAACCCCTGACGGGCTTGGATCGATTTGAGAGCCTCCTCCACCATCCCCCCTGACCATAATTCTGCATTTGAGGCAGCATTGAAGACTTCCTGTGGTTAGAGGCCGGGAGATTGCATCTGCCATTGCCGTGTCTCAGGATGAGATTAGGTCAGGCTGATGTGATTTGTTCTACAATTCCATACAGACCGTTACTCATTGCCTCGTTATCTTCTGGATGCTTCCAAGGAGAATTGATTGCCTGTGCCATGTCTGGTAACCTCTGTCAGGCCACCTGCTCTGTGACATTGCTTCTCTTTCCCCCCCATCAGTGGTGGCCCGGGTTATTTTGGGTTTTGCACCCTGGGGATGTGCAAGCACAGCTCTGGTTCCTCTCCCACCGTGTCCCACGCTGGTTTTTTTGCTGCTGGTGCTGCTCTTGTTTGCAGATGGCTTTTTAGTGAAGGCTGGAGCAAAAAGGCAGTGAATGCTTTGGCTGGCTCCTTCTAGTGGTAGAGAGCATCATTCCTTCCCTCTTCATCCCTCTGTTTCCTGCTGCTGCAGACTGAGGCTGAAGGGTCTCCTCATCCTCCACTGGGCAGAGAATGGATGGAGAGCAGCCCTGAGGAGAAGGACCTGGAGGGTGAAAAACTCTACAGATTTCAGTAGGGGAGGGGATTGTGCCCCTGAGCCCAGGTGAGACCCCACGTGCAGAGCTGCCCCAGCCCTGGGGACACAGCAGCAGCACCTGGAGCTGCAGGAGAGAGCCCAGAGGAGGTCCCGGAGCTGCTGCAAGGCTGGAGCCAGGCTGGGATGTCCCTGCCAATACTGCAGCACTTTAACCCAGCCATTAACCTGTGCTCAGCCAATGGTGGCAGCAGCATCCCTTTAAAACCCACATCTGTGACACTGGAACTACTCATTTCCCTGCAGAAGCATGCCTGGAAAAATGCTGGAAATAAGGAATTTTTTTTGAATGTTTCTCACATAAAACTGTTGGAAATGACATTTCTTTCACTTAAAAAAAAATTCTTCCACCTGTGTTTGCAGAGGTTTGTCACTGAAGTCCTGGTTTTGCCTTGTCCCGAGTGCTTTCTTTCCCTCCCTTGCTCACACCCTCTTGGGATTAGAAAAGGTTTAGTAAAAATCTGCTTTTAAGCCAAGATGGGAGAGTTCCCAGGTGCAGGAAAATGCAGGAAAATAGTTCCCAGAATTTGTGTCTTGCTCCAGGGATGGTGCTGGGGCTGGAGGTCAGGCTGGACCTGCCTGTTTCCCTGTGACCTGGCAGAAATTGTCTTCCCCAGCAGATAAAAAGTGGGAAATAAAAGCCAGGCCAGGCTGGGCCAACATAACCAGATGGGGACAGGGCGTCCCTGTGGGTTGTGGCTGGCCATGGTTATCCCTGCAGGAAGAGCTCATCCCTGGGATTGGCAGAGGCCCACTGCTGGCTGGGTGCTCCACACCGCCTCCTCTTCCCTCTCCACAGCTCCCGTGTCCGTGTGTCCCAGCTGGCACCAGCCAGGTCCCATCTGTCACTGAGGGAAAGGGGTGGCTCCTTTTGGTGGCCCAGGCACCGTCAGTGGCACTGCTGCAGCCCCTCTAATGGATTCCCTGAGCTAATCCAGGGAGCCGGCTGGAACTGGACGCGGCTGAGCTGCGTGGTGCGTGTTTTCAGATGGTATCAGAGCTTTTGCATTTCAACATTGCAGACTGGCAAGGGCAGCTGCAGGTGGGCAGGGCCAGGGGCTGCTCCTCGTGCTTTGGGTGCCCAAAGCCAGCCTTGGCTTTGCTGTGCCCAGGGCCCGAGGGAGAAAACGCCACCCCAGCCCAGGAGGGGAACAACAAATGCCTCTTGGCAAAGCCGCAGGATGCAGGAGGGGAGGGATGGCCCCTCCGGAGCCTCAGGGCTGGGTGCAGAGCCCGGGGGTGTTTAACTGCTCTGTTCAAACCAAAGGAGAGGGCACCCTCTCCCCAGCCGCTGCAGAGCCCCGTGTGTGCTGGAAATGCTCTATAAATACATTAGCAATAAATAATGGATAACCTGGATGGGCATTAAAGTGTAAACAGGAGGTGAAGGGCTCTCTCCCATTACCGGTCCCCCGAGAGCCACGCGCATCCCTCTCTCCAAGTCCTGCTTGATGCTACTCCAACTGCAGAGCCCTTAGTCACAGCAGTGACAATATCATAGATCAGTGGCTCCAGAGTTGGCAAAAACAAACCAAAAATAGTCCGGAGGGCAGAGTCTTCCTCCCGATGGCGTGCTGCATTTGCCTGCATCAGCGTTTTTGCCTGTGGTGCTCCTCTGCCTGCATGGGCTGACCCTCCCAAGGAGTCAGAGTCCTCTCCCTGGCACACAGCTGGGGAGTGCCCCTGATCTGGGAGGTTTTATCCCCCTTGGATGCAGCTGAAGTGTTGAGCCATGCCGGCTGGATATTGTCCCCAAAAGTCACTGCCCTGTGGCTGAAGGTGGTCCCATCACCATAGTGCCCATGCCCACAGATGGTCGCAAGGGATGGCATGGGCACCCACCTGATGTGCAGAGAGACAAGGGATTAAATGAATTTATGGATGTGATAGGGGGTCATATCAGGAGGAGACTT